TAAACGGCTGAGTCGTTTCCTATTGAACAACATAATTGGCAAATTCTTCATTCTAACAATTGTTGAAAACATCCTGCACTACTCTAGAACTGATTGAAGAGTTTGAAAATCATCAACAATGAGCCAATTTGTTATAAAAAAAACTCGCTCTCAAAGGTTGCGCAACCGGGATTTGAACTCGGTGCCTGCGGACCTGCAGGCCAGAGCGTTAGCCACTGCACCATCGATGAACGGTTTGGCGCTAGTCAGATATGTTTATCAACTACAGAAGAGCAGCTGAAAACGGTCTTTAATTCATTAGCAGTCTCTTGCGATAAAATGCCGCTGGAATCATTAGACTCCAGGGAGATTACGCACAATAGGCTCGAAGAGATAAGACAGGAAATAAGAACCGATGCACTGCCAAGAGGCCTCGAAAACTATATGACAGACGGGACGGATTCTGCGCTTGTCGGTCGCTGTGTCGGCTGTAAGGAACTTGAAAAGCGGGTCCAGACGCTAGAAGAGAAGCAAGGCCTACTGACGGACATCATCATGGCTATTCTTAAGCACAGTAAGATAGAATTACCAAATAATCCGCCAAATTTCCGATCGATCGGCGACGAACATCCTACTAATAAAGGCACTAGCGCGGAAAAGTCAAAGCCTGTCAGGAAGATGAAGCGAGTTATGTCTCCAGAGGAAACTCTAGACAAATCAGTTCCGGTGGATAACGTGGCGGTCGACACTAATGCATTAAAAATAAGTCAGGTTCCATTACCTGCTGTAGTAACTAAACCTGCCAAATCATCGAACACTAAAGTTGGGAAAGCCAGGGTGACCCTCAGAAGATCTGTTAGGGAGTACAAGGACTCGCCGTTATTCTTGGAAGGCAATGCTGTTACGCCCCTTCTTAACAAGGCTAACTCATCTGGAAAGTGCCCTAACCAGTCCGTTTATGGAAAAGGACACAATAAGCCTTCGTGCAGTACATTACAACAGGGTAGTGATTGTAAGAGCTCCACTGCCGGAGAAAGTACGTCACATGAAAATCCATGCCTTAAACTGCCTTCGCCGGCCGAAAATCATTCAAATGTTGAAGTGACAACAGCCGTCGGGAATACTACAGTATCATTATATCGTCCTAGCGCGGACGGGACAGTATTGAGCTCTTCCATAAATCGTAAGCAAAATATTGTCATAAGGGGCGACCCAGAGTCCACGTCCTGCATTCCGAAGGAACGAGTGACGCACGACCTAGACCTTCTACATCAGTACGCCAGTGCCGTCCTGCAGGATGGGGAAATATTCACCGTTAAAAAAGCTTTCCGACTAGGCAGAGCGGACCCAAATCGTGACCTAAAAACATCCCCAAGACCTCTGAAAGTTATTTTGGAAAACGAAGCCCAAGCAGCGCTTTTGTTAGAAAGTAGAACGACCTTACGCAATTCGCACAAGGAAGTGTTTTTTCAATTAGACTACGAACCGAGGGAAAGACTGAAAATGAGAGAACTGAGATCAGAATTGAAGGAGAGAATTGGCAGAGGAGAGAAGGGGCTGAAGATCAAAAATGGACAAATAGTCCAGACAAAGGGGTCTTTCCTGTGGCCAGAACCCGTCACAATGAAGGCCGGGCCTCTCCAACGAATCAGTCATTGAAGGTTATATCCTCAAATATACAAAGCCTCTTCAACAAACAAGACGAACTAAGAGACTTAGTTGATGAAATTAAGCCAGACATTATGGCATTCACAGAAACGCGGCTTACTAAAGATATCGCAGATTCAGAAATATCACTTAGAGGATATCAGCAATTCAGGAGAGATAGACTAAGCCGAGGAGGAGGAGTCATAATTTATGTCACTTGCAAGCTAAGCGCTATGGCTGATGTACATAGACCGGTACGGGATGTGGAACTGCTAAGCGTTACCATATCTACTAAGAATGTCCGAGCACTGACGCTTTCGGTGGTGTACCGCTCACCTAACCATACTTCTGACCAAGATCTCATGCTCATATCCGAACTGTACCAAGCTAGCGAGAAAAAAGACGTCCTTATCGTTGGGGATTTTAACGCTCCTGACATTGATTGGCTAACGTGGACTGCACAAGGGCCGCAAGACAGCTTTAATCACAAACTACTACAATGGACAACGGACAAACGTCTCTGCCAGAATGTTACCTTTGGAACACGGGTCAGGGAAGGGCAGCAGTCGAACTGCCTTGATCTTATTTTTACCCGAGAGGAGGAAAATGTGTTAGACCTGCAGGACCGACAGCCATTAGGGTCAAGCGACCACATCACGCTCTACTTCGAGTACTCACTGTTTTCAAAACCCGTCCAACCCGAGAGGTGGGAGAGAAACATTTGGAAAGGGGACTATTCTCTCATGAGGAGGGAAGCGGCAGCTCTATCATGGGAGACTGAACTGCATGGTTGAGCAAACGATAACTGGAATACTTTCAGTTCCTTACTGAAAGAGATTGTTTATTCCAATTGTCCTCTTAGAAGAAAGAAAATCACAAACCGCCCAAAATGGATAAACCCGGATTTGAAGGCCTCTTTCAGAAAAAGGAATCGTCTGTGGCGGCGTTACAGACTAACTGGCTCCGACGAACACTTACAGGAATATAAGCGGCAACGAAACGCCTGTAAAAGTGAGGCCTCAAAGCTGCGAAAGAAGTTTGAACTAAACATCCTCCGAAATTCGTTGGAGCATCCGAAAATTCTGTATGGTTATATACGAAGTACTAAAAGGACTCAGGAGCTCATCCCTGCCCTCAGGTCTGCAGATGGAAAGGTGGAGATTGATGACCAGGTTAAAGCGTCCCTCCTTTCCGACTTCTTTCAGTCCGTCTTCACCCGAGAACCTAGTGCTATATTTGCCCATCCATCCATTCGCCAACCAACCTCTCCTCCCATTACCCTTCCCCATCCTATCCCCTCCCTACCCTCCTTAACCGAGGAACCACTTTTTTCATCTACCATAGTTAGGGCCGAGCTACTCCGGTTGAAACCTGCCAAATCGCCTGGCCCAGATAGAATTCCCGCCCTAGCACTTCGTGAACTTGCTAATGAACTGTGCAAACCCTTATCCGCAATATTTCAACAGTCATTTGAAGACGGCGAGCTCCCGGAAGAATGGAAGTGCGCACTCATTACTCCGATCCATAAAGGAGGCTCAAGACTTGACTGCGGAAATTATCGTCCTGTCAGTCTTACTTGCATCGCGTGTAAAATAATGGAACGCATTATCAAAAGACACTTGATGAAATACCTGGAACAGAACAAAATATTGTGTGATGCCCAACACGGCTTTCGTCCAGGGCGCTCCTGCCTAACGAGTGTTCTTTACTCGCACGAGAAATGGACACGAGCTACCGATAAAGGTTTTCCAATAGATGTCATATTTTTTGACTTCAAGAATGCCTTTGACAGTGTCCCACACAGGCTTCTTTTACAGAAGATGTGGGATGTTGAGATTCAAGGAAGAATGTTTAAGTGGATCAGGAGTTTTCTGTCCTCCAGACTACAACGAGTCGTCGTTAGTAATTCTACCTCGGAATGGGTAAAGGTGGAAATTGATGTCCCACAGGGTTCTGTCTTAGGCCCAGTACTCTTCCTGATTTATGTTAATGAGTGCATCAGCGAAGTGAATTGCGAGGCTCTCATGTTCGCAGATGACGTAAAAATATGGAGTGAAGTCAAGTGTGATGATGACGCAGAGAAGTTGCAGTCGAACATCGACAAACTGTGTGCTTGGTCAAACAGATGGCTTTTGAATTTCAACGTGTCCAAATGCGTGGTCTTGCACCTAAACACCGGCCGCAATGCCTCTCCCAAACACCAGTACTATATTGGCGGGACGAAGTTAGAAACTGTGGAAAGACACGGAGATCTGGGTGTATGGACGACCACAAATCTATCGCCATCAGAACACTGTAGAAAGATGGTCCAGAAGACAACTTGTACTCTACACTGGATCAGACGCGCATTTAAAATATTTCCTCCCGAGCTTTTCGAAAGACTCTTTGATGTCTTTGTAAGACCTCATATAGAGTATGGAATGCCAGCAGCTTCACCATGGATGAGGAAGGATATCAACTTACTCGAACAGGTGCAACGCACAGCGACAAAGATGGTCGACGGTCTAAAGCATTTGTCTTATCAGGAGAGGCTGAATTTGCTTGGCCTATTCCCTCTCTCTTATAGACAAATAAACTGCAGTCTACTCTGGACTTTCCGGATTGTTCGCGGCCAGGGTTGCTCATTAAGAGCAGAGGACTTCTTTGAGTTCGCCCGTACAAACCAACTACGCGGCCATGCATACAAAGTCGGGAATGAGCGCAGGCGTTTAGACCGACGAAAATTTTCATTCAGCCAGCGGGTTGTCAGGCCGTGGAACTCGCTTCCGAGCGAGATGGTGACGGCTGACACAGTTTGTGTGTTTCAAAGAAAACTTGCTCGTCTAGTTTTCGACAGAAATCGGCTTGTACAGCATGACTATGCACAGCCATTTTTGTAAAATCTGTCATATACAATCTTCCGCACTAATTTACAGTGACCGCATGCACTACATTATGATTACGATTGAACTGTGACCCAATCACATTTTAAATGCCTGCAATTTTATTTTATTTTTGAGTATGAATCTGCGAAAGCACTGTACATAAATAGGATCATCAAGGGCTCTGCCTGTAACCCTTCAATATACATACATACAATTCCTAAAAGTTCACGGCCTGCTATCGAACTGCCAATATGGGTTCTGGAAAGGAAGATCCTTCACGACATACTTGCTGCAATCTCTCCAAAGCTGGACCCGAGCTCTCGACGACAGGCACGCGGTCCGCATAGCCTTCATCCACTTTTAGAAGGCGTTCGACACTGTGCCACAGCAAAGGCTCTTAAATAAGCTGAAAAAATAGGGATCGGTGGCAACTTCCTTAAATGGATCGAAAACTTCCTTGTGGGTCGACACCAGGTTGTGTGCGTCGGTCAGGTAAAATCAGATCCGGCTATGGTCGATAGTGTTGTCCCCCAGGGTTCAGTACTGGGACCCATTTTGTTCCTTATCTACGTGGACGATGCTGCAAGATATTTAGACTGTGAAGTAGCAATGTTTGAGGATGACATGAAGATATGGAATGTAATTCGGGATCCTGCCGACGAAGAAGGACTGCAGATGAACCTGAATCGGTTGGAGGAGTGGTCAAACCGTTGGCTCCTGCGGTTCAACGTTGCCAAATGTGGCATTATTCGCCTAGGCAACACAGACAGATCCGCCAACACAAGAGGCTACTTTCTGGGCGGTGCAGCCCTACAAGAGGTCGTTGCCCAAAAGGACCTCGGTGTGCTTACGACGAGTTCCCCAAAACCATCCGCCCACTGTTCGAGGGTGGCAAAAAGCGCAATGTCCGTACTGTAAGCCATCAAGCGTGCGTTTATGGACTTTGACGAAGAAGCTTTCTCCAAGACATTCGGAACATTCGTCCGGCCGCATTTAGAGTACGGCATACAAGCTTGGAGGCCGTGGGCCGTTGAGGATCAAAACTGCCTCGAAAGAGTCCAGAGGAGAGCCACAAAGATGGTTAGGGGTAAAAGTTCCTTTCCTTATGCGACCCGCCTAGTAAATCTGAACCTCTTTCCTTTGAGTTACAGGCAACTTCGCGGGGATCTCTTGCAAGCCTTCCGCATTATAAAGGGGTTGGATTGCAGTCTGGCCTTCGAGGACGTTTTTGAATTTGCTACCACGACCAACCTCCGAGGTCACCCGTTAAAACTGCGCACTCAGCAGGCACGGCTGGATGTGCGGAAGTTCTCCTTCTCGGTTCGGGTGGTCAAACCTAGGAATGAGCTTCCCGCGGATGTTGCGATGTCACCATCTTTATAAAGTTTAAAGAAGATTCTGGACATATATATGTTCCGAAATGACCAAGAGCGATGAGAAGTCGAGCTCACCCCCTGTAACTCCGTCTCATTTTGTCCCACCATTATGGGCGTGTTGGAACTATTTCAGCCCAGAACATCTATTTGTACACCACACATTTTTTACGTTGCAAATAGGGTACTCAAAGGCTTACGCCTATTTCCCTCAATAAACTGAACTGAACTGGGATCTGCTATCCGTCGGCACTCAAAAGAGGTTCTAGCAACCCGTATTTGTTTGCGGCATTCATTGCACTGCTCCTTATATTCGGCTAATGGTATCGGATCTTGACGATGCAACTACCATTTCTACAGCCTCTGTTTCTTCTTCATCATCTTCTTTGACATCAGATTGGCCCACGGTGGTCGTGCACATGGTCTTTTTAATTTAATGGACAATGGGATTCAGTTAGACCCTCTGTAATCCCGCGAAATTACCGCCAGAATTATTCCGAATCTTCCATGTCGACTGACCAGGTTTCCTTCAAAAGCGCACGTCTTAATGCGTTAAACTCAGCCTTCCGAATATTTCTACGCCTCTTGATTTTTGGTTGTTAGTTTACTAGGAGAGAGCACACGCAGGTAAATGCAATCTGGTCACCTAAACCGAGTGGAGGTTGTGGATTCAAGACTTGACTGCGGAAATTATCGTCCCGTCAGTCTTACTTGCACCGCTTGTAAAATAATGGAACGCATCATCAAAAGACACTTGATGAAATACCTGGAACAGAACAAAATATTGTGTGATGCCCAACACGGCTTTCGTACAGGGCGCCCCTGCATAACGAGTGCTCTTCATTCGCACGAGAAATGGACACGAGCTACCGATAAGGGTTTTCCAGTGGATGTCATATTTTTAGGAATCAAGAAGGCCTTTGACAGTGTCCCACACAGGCTTCTTCTACAGAAGATCTGGGATTAAGTCAGTTTAAGTCAGTTTATTAAGGGAATGAGGCTTTCGCCCTTGAGCTCCCTATTCATATCGATAAACAGAAATAAAGTCATCAATTACATCAGCAAAAGCGAAGTTTAAAAGTTAGCGGTGAGTGTGAGCCACGCGCAAACTGCCGCCGCTAAAACAAGCGTTATTGTATGTACAGTAGTTTCTCAACAAATGAGCATCTAGTCTACATTTGAAGGAATCGATACTTTCGGAAAGAACCACTACATCAGGGAGTCCGTTCCATGCCCCAATGACCCTGTGAGAGAAGGCGTTCCGTCGGACGTCCGAATGGGCCAGCTTCCTCTGCAGCTTGAAGGGATGACCACGCAGACGGTCAGTCCCAGCCAATTCAAAAAACTCATTAAAGTCTAGGGCACACTCACGACCTCTGACAATCCTGTAGGTTTGAATGAGATCGCCGCGCAGTTGCCTGTAATTTAGAGGAAACAGATTTAGTTCAGTCAGCCTGGTTTCATAAGGCAAGGGATGAAGATTCTTGACCATCTTCGTAGCCATCGCCTGTACTCTTTCCAGTCGTTGATAATCTTTTTTCAACCACGGTCGCCAGGCCTGAACTGCATACTCTAAGTGAGACCGGACGAATGCCCCATAGGTTTTTCCGAACAGCTCCTTGTCGATCTGCACAAATCCTCGCCTCAGCGCAAATAACACCCTTATCGCACTTTTGGCTGCCCTTTGACACTGTGAAGATGGTTTCAGCGAGGAGGTCATTAGGACTCCCAGGTCTTTCTGTTCCACAACATTTTAAAGGGGCTGACCACCAAGGACGTATTGAAAGTAATCGTCCTCCTTACTGGTTTTTTTGGAACGGAGTCTCAGGATCACACATTTGTCCACATTAAAATTAAAGAGCCAACGAGCTGACCAACTCTTCAGACGGTTGAGGCTGTCTTGAAGCGCGTACCTGTATGCGTCAGATCTGATGGGTCTCCACAGCTTAACATCCTCAGCAAACATGATGGCGCTGCATCCCAGGTCGTCGACGCAGTCGTTAATGTAAATGGGGAATAGCAACGGCCCTAAGACGGAGCCCTGGGGTACACCACTTAGAAGGGGGGTAGGAGTTGACCTTGAGGCCTCAATGCACACGGCTTGCGATCTCCCGGTAAGAAAATCTGTTATCCATGTCAGCAGCCTTCCTCTTATCCCAATTTCAGAAAGTTTGCAGATTATGCGTGTATGTGGGACGCTGTCGATATAGGAATTCAAGGAAGAAGGTTCAAATGGATTAGAAGTTTTCTGTCCTCCAGAGTACAACGAATCGTCGTTGGCAACTCTACGTCGGGGTGGGCAAAGTTTGAAAGTGGTGTCCGACAGGGTTCTGCCTTAGGTCCAGTACTCTTCCTGATTTATGTTAATGGCTGCATCAGCGAAGTGAATTGCGAGGCCCTCATGTTCGCGGATAACATAAAAATATGGAGTGAAGTCAAGTGTGCTGATGACGCAGAGAAGTTGCAGTCGAACATCGACAAACTGTGTGCTTCGTCGAACAGATGGGTTTTGAAGTTCAACGTGTCCAAATGCGTAGTCTTACACCTGAACACCGGCCGCAATGTCTCTCCCAAACACCAGTACTATATTGACGGGACAAGGCTAGAAACGGTGGAAAGACACAGAGCTCTGGGTGTATGGACGACCACATCTAGTGTACGGAATGCCAATAGCTTCACCATGGATGAGGAAGGATATCGACTTACTCGAACAGGTGCACCGCAGAGCGACAAAGATGGCCGACAATCTAAAGCATTTGTCTTATAAGGAGAGGCTGAATTTGCTTGGCCTATTCCCTCTCTCTTATAGACAAATAAACTGCACTCTACATTAGACGTTCCGGATTGTCCGCGGCCAGGGTTGCTCATTAAGAGCAGAGGACTTCTCTGAGTTCGCCCACACAAACCATCTACGCGGCCATACCTACAATGAATGAGCGCACGCGCTTAGATCGTCGAAAATTTTCATTCAACCAGCGGGTCGTCCGATCGTGGAACTCGCTTCCAAGCGAGATGGTGACGGCTGATACAGTTTGTGTGTTTAAAAGAAAACTTGCTCGTCTAGTTTTCGACAGAAATCGGTTTGTACAGCATGACTATGCACAGCCATTTTTGTAAAAAACCCTCCGCAATTATTTACGGTGACCTTATGCACTACCTTATGATTACGATTGAACTGTGACTCGATCACATTGTTAATGTCTGCAATTTTATTTTCGAGTACGAATCTGCGAAAGCACTGTACATAAACTGGATCATCAATTGCTCCGCCTCTAACCCTCCAAATATACATATACGTATACAATTCACTTCCCGTATGACTCCTTTTTCTTTGCCGAATACGAGATCTAAACAGTTAGCTCGCTGTCCTTCTCTCAGTCTTGTTCCAAATTTTATGTGTTGAATGACGCATTCATTTAGGGAGATTTATAGCAGATTTTGTTCAAATCCCTGCCAGCACATGGCCTCTTCATAGGCGGGGCTGGGTGTGGACAGAGCCCCCTCTGGATTGAAACATTTGAAGCGTATTTGCACCGAAAGTTATGTTTCAAAAGCATCACTCACTGTACCTTCTTTGTCATTAAAAGGAGCTAATTTCTCAAAAGTGGCTTATAAGTCATGGAAAATGTTTTGCAGAACCGGATGATTGCATCTGGACCATTTTCTCCGTGGGCAGCCCAGAACTGGACGATGTAGCCCACCTCCCTCAGAAACTAACAGCCTTTCCCTTCAAACTTTTTGTTTTAAATGCCAGATCCCTGCTAAATAAGATGCCTTTGCTTCAGACTCTGGTGTTCGTCCATTGTCCAGATATTGTTTTAGGAACTGAGACGTGGGCATCAGCCTCAGTGGCTGACTCCGAACTCTCTCTTCTAGGCTATAATTGCATCCGAAAGTATCGCCGGGATAGCCGTGGTGGGGGCAGCTGCGTCTACGTAAAGCAAACACTTACATTTTTGCCGTTGGAGTTCCCGCATTTCTCCGCAGTAGAAGGCAGCTGCTGGCTCCAGGTTGCTCTAAAAAATAAGTACTCTTTACTCGCTGGCTGCGTCTATCGTCCTCCCAACGCCAACGAAAATTTTGATCGCTTACTCTCACAGGCATTTCATGCTGCAGCCGACTCAAGCTTTAAGTATCAATTGGTTGCGGGTGACTTTAATCTCCCCGAAGTCCGCTGGTCTCCGCCCTCGGGCCCCAGAAGGTTCGAAGACTTTCTTGAGGCTGTGGATGTTGGGATGTAGACTCAGGTTGTCGATTTCCCACCTGAGGCTCAAGCATACTTGACCTAATTTTCTGTAGAGGCTGCATGCCATCATCAGTGTCATCCCTAGGCCCACTCGGGGGCTCAGACCATGACATAGTTGTTTTAAAGTTGGAACTCGAGGGTGACAAAAAGTTCTTCCCAATGTATACCTTTTCCCGCGATTTCCGATCAACTCGCACAACCAAATAATTAACACACCTTAATTCCTACGACTGGACTGATTTCTTCCTTACTTCGGATGTAAATGTTTGCACTGCAAATCTGTACGAAATTTTGGATCCGCTTATTTCTCATTGTGTCCCCCGTAAGAAAATTATTAATTCATATTGACCCAACTGTGAAAAACTCGGCGCCTCGGTGGGATTCGAACCCACGCAGTAAGGGGGAAGGCTTTAGTACAGCCAACGCTCTAACCACCTGAGCTACGAGGCCCCGCCGGACGACGCGAGTTATATCACACTTGGGTCAAGTTACCCGCCCAACCTACTGCAACGTCTGGAATCCACCAAATCTGATACAGCAAGTTGACTGCCCAAGCAGGATTTCCTAAGTAATTAACCTAGAATCCACCAGATGACTACTAGGCTCACGTAATTCATTGATATTTTGGCAGATTTTGAATAATTCATATTGACCCAACTGTGAAAAACTCGGCGCCTCGGTGGGATTCGAACCCACGGCAGTAAGGGTTAGAGCGTTGGCTGTACTAAAGCCTTCCCCTTACTGCGTGGGTTCGAATCCCACCGAGGCGCCGAGTTTTTCACAGTTGGGTCAATATGAATTATTCAAAATCTGCCAAAATATCAATGAAAAATTATTGATGTTGGGGATGAGGTTTTCCTACCCTTACCCTTTCGTCGCAGATTGCGCAGGCTTTATCGTCGTTTCCATCTTCAGAACGATGTTTCTGTTCTGCCCTTGATTCGTGATATTTTTGATCGAGCTAAGAGATTGTCTGAAGAAAAACGGCTAGCCGAAGAGGTCCATTTTATCGAAAACCATTCGTTAAATGTCTCGAAACTTTTCTCTAGAAAAATACGAACTCATCGAAAGACGCAGCATCCCATCCTCCGAGACGCTCTCGGAAATCCCATAGTTGATGCCCAGTTAACCGCGGATAGCTTCAATGATTTCCTGTCCAAAACGTTTATTGAAGACTCGACCACTCCGCTTCCGACCATCCAGTCATTGACCGGGGCAGTTCTAGAAACTATAAGTTTCACTCTGTGGGATGTGTCTGTTGCGATTCGGCGTTTTCGTCAATCTTATAGTCCAGGACCTGATGATGTCCCAGTAGGAATTTTAAAGGCGATGCAAATACGATCTTCCCATCCCTCTTATGCAAGATATTTAATCTTGTTCTTGAAAGTGAAATGTATCCTACCTTGTGGAAGAAATCGCACATTTTGCCCATTCCTAAGCACGGCAAATCTACATCATTTGATGACTTTCGGCCAATAAACACCCTCCCTGCAGTTTCGAAGATCTTAGAGACATTGATCAAAGAGAAGATTATGTGTTACATAACAGTTAATAACTTACTGAGTGTTGCTCAGCATGGATTCCTCAAAGCTCGATCTTGTGACACCTGTCAATTCTCTTTCTTTGACTATGTTCTCCAATCTAGGGACAATGTTTTTGCACTTTACACAGTATATTTCGATTTCAATAAGGTTTTTGATCGTGTTGACCATGCTCTTCTTCTCTTAAACTGTCCTCTTTTGGAATAGGTGGCAAACTTTTAAATTTTATATCCCCGACTTATTTCAGAATGATAAGCCTTTCATGTATGCCGATGATCTTAAAGTTGCATATCGATATAAGCCGGCAGATCGTGACATCGTGCTTGAGCTCCTAAAGAGCGATCTACAGGCTTTCGCCCAGTGGTGCCGCACATGGCGCCTTTCTCTCTCTTGGCATAAGTGCTCAGTCATGGTGGTTGGCGACGACCGCCAACCTCAACTAAGTATTGAAGGTCACGCAATAAATGTGCCAGGGGTAATAAAGGATTTGGGCATATCATACTCCAAGAGTCTCAATCTCTCGGAGCACTGTGCCTTGATAGTCTCCAAAGCACGCAGAACGACCGAGTTTATCCTCCGAAATTTTAAAACTAGGGACATTAGAATGCGCCTTTTCAACATGTACGTTAGACCTGGTCTGGAATACTGTTCGTTTTCATTTAGCCTCATGCGTGCTACTGAGCGGAAGAAAATAGAATCCGTTCAACACTTTTTTACCAAGAGAATTTTAACCCCGGAACACCGACATTTGTCTTACCAAGAACGTTGCCGGCTTACGGGCCTTGATCCTTTATGGTTCCGTAGATTACAAAAGGGACTATTTTTGCCATTTAAACTCTTATATAATCACACATTTAACCCGCTCACCTCTTTAAGACATAATATCCACCTTCGACGTAACAGTCACCGTGAGGTCTTCTTATTTCTGCCTCTGGCACGTACTGTTAAATATCGTCGGTTCTATTCTGTAAATGCTATTGCTATTTGAAATAAACTACCCATGAATGTGAAAACTCTGAAAAATTATCCTTTATTTAAGAGAACTGCCGGTCGGATTTGTGTTTAATCGCTTCCCTCGACAATGCCTGCAAACTGGCATTAAAGAAATTATTGTTGTTGTTGTTGTTATTATTATTATTATTATTAAAAAGCGTCCGTTTACGCCCACGGGTCGCGGATAATATCGTGCGTCAACCAATGCTGTTTTCGTGCTCTTAATGACTGTCTTAGTTATTTTATGTATCTTCTGGTAATTGTTTGGGTATTTACTCAAAAACCAGTTCAAGTAGTCGACTTGTATGTCTATGTATGTACTAATTGGCATTGGTGTTCATAGTCCACTTATACAATTTTTTATCGTTTTTTACTGAATATTCAAAGCAACTATGGAGCGTAATTACTGTGGCTCTCATCGAACCACCGTATACAAGCGCATTAAGCACCAGATGAGGGCTTATTATGAGGCCACTGAAGAGTCTGAGTCTGAGGTTCCCTCAACGTCGACAGCAGTTGGCAATCAATCCCCTGAACGAGAAATGCCTATTCTGAGCTCGGAAACTTCTGCCGGCAGGTATTATGTGTGTGGGCCTCAGGCGACTCATCATACGGGTCGATATTTTGAAGGAGTGCCAAAAGTGGGTGGAAGTCTGGCGTCCCCTGCGCATTTTTTCGCTGGTGGGGCCAGGCGGGGCTATCGTGTTGAATTCCCCGCCACAGCCCCTTCTACAGCCCTGCCAAGCCCCTTCATAGCCCCCTCTAGCCCCGCCATATTTGAGGGGCGTTACGCGGGGCTGGTGCTGGCAGGGTTAATTATAGGTTGATCAGGCCCAAAGGTTAGTTGGTCCCCTCAACAAATGGCCATTTTACGCTAATAAACTTGATCCTCTGCTGTTCCCGCGTACCTGTAAATTTAATTTCGCTGATGGGGCCAGGCGGGGCTGTCGTGTTGAATGCCCCGCCATATATCCTTCCATAGCCCCGCCTAGCCCCTTCATAGCCCCCTCTCGCCCCGCCATTTTTGATGGGGCTAGGCGGGGCTGGTGCTGGCAGGGATGATATGGACGGGACATTTGTTAAGGGAATTTTCCAGTCTGTTCCTGGAGCGTTAAATTCACCCAGAAGAAGTAAGCTCTCCTGCTTACATAGCAACTCCAGTGCACTAAGTCATTCCATATCAACGATTTCATTTGAGCTGGGAGGCCGATAGAGAGCACACAGGTCAAGTGTCCACAATTGTGTTATACATATTTGGCATGAATTTATTTCAAAATTTTGCGGTGCCACATCGGATATTTCTCGCGGACAACGGGGAGTTTTATTTGACACATGAATCGCTGTGCCTCCTTCTCCTAACCTACGTTGAAATCTGCGCACAACGGAGCACGTGAAAGCCCTCAATACTGACTTCGCTGCTACTTCTTTTCTCAGGCAACCATGTCTCTGTTAGGAAAATTATGTGAGGCGTCTGTTAAGAGACTAATAATATGAGTTCATCAAGCTTATTAAGGAGACATTGACAATTAGTGTAATGGAATTCTAAACAGCCACTACTGCTGCTCACTGCCTCAAAAGTTGGCACCTTTGCATTAGCGAGGCTGTCAGGATGACGGCCTTCGGCCAGAGAAATGTCCTTTTGACCTGAACTATTTGTCCGTTCTTGATTTGTAGGTGTGGTTCGCCGCTGGTCCTTCGCTCTTCCAGTTCTTTTGTCAGCTATCTCCTAGTAATTCGCTCTTCTAGCTCGTAATCTGACTGAAAAACTTCGGGATGATTACTCCGCAAAGGTGATTTTTTCTGTAACAGGAGCTGTGCCTGTGCTTCAGTCTCCAAAGTGACTTGGAGGGGTCGGGTCGAGAATTTGAAGGGGGCGCTGACTGAGCCTTCCCTATTCGCAATGCTTTGAGAATATTAAATGACTCGCCGTCTCTTGACAAAGCTTTCGCAAACACTTGAAGAAGGTCTAGGTCGTGGTTTACTCTGTCCCTTGGAACTGTAGCCGTTGATTTGGGTACTACCTGTATGACTAAATTTCGCTTGCGACTGAATCTAGCGCCCGTTGTTATAGCACATACTTTGACTGACTGAACGTTCTTTACCAGTTTACTTGTTTTGTGGGCTCTGAATGGACTAGCTATTGGGCTAGCAAAACTCAGATCAATGCGCGATCCGTTCATTTTCGTGTTGATAACACTTCCTTCTGTGTTTCCGTTTTGTTTATCGATAAGGCTAGTTTCAGACTCGTTTAAAGTTTCCTCTCGAATATTTTGGCTTGCCTTTGGCCCACAAGGCGTTCCGTTATCTCTGTTGTCAAACATAACTGGGGGCTTCCGGCGGTCCTTCTTAGGCCTCCTGGCCGTCTTCCTCAGCTGGTCTGTGTGTATGCAAGCAAATTGCCGACTTCGTCATCTTCCTCTCTTCCAGTATTTAATGAGTAAGAATCCATAACTTCTCTGTCTCCATTTTTGACCTCTTTAACGCCTCCTCCAACTTAAAAAATTTGTGAATGAGTCCGAAACATGTGGTGCAGATTTTATCGTCGTATGTGACATCCCTCAACGTTGTAACAGCCAGACATCATGACTGGTCTGGCGTCATTGTTCCAGACCTCGCTGCCTCAAGGTCATTCATCCCTTGCAGCGAGTCGTCCCAGACGAGGTGGCCTGAAGTCACACAACCAACAGCTCGGGCATACCTGCGTCCGCGCAGTCGCAGCTGCCCATGCGGCCACTTGAACGCGCCATCCCCTGCAACCAGCGGAACAAGCCACTGGGACACCATCCCTCGGCAAATGCAACGCACGCTGACTGGTCACCACTTGAGCTTGGCCTACGAGCCTACAAAAGCGACTGCCACCATTATCTCAGGGACTCTCAGGCCTGACTGGACGCAGTCAACACCAGCCCTGGCTTCGTCAGTGGCCACTGCCGTCTGAGAGGACAACCCCGGGTTCTGTGCACAATAAACCCCTTATTCTGGTCCCCTTTGTCTTCTCCCTTGAAACATGGAATTTGGCCTGACGATTGTAGCTCACATGCTGCACATATTCTCTCTGCTGTGCCGCTACAACGTCACTAGACTTTTTGCTCTTTTTTGAGGAGAATGAACAATTTGGTCTGGCAGAGTGAGGAAATGTACTCTGGCGAGAGCGTAAGGGGCGCGAGGATTTGGTTGATATTCTGTAAGGTATTTGGACAGCGTGTTTAGCGTAAGCAGGTCACAATCGATTTTCAGACAGCAGTCCCTTCTGCAGTGAGAGGTACATAGTGCTTACTAAATAAGGCAACTATGAAATTCCTGGTGGTTGCCAAATTCTAGTCCAGGCCGCGACGTGAATTTGGTTAGAAAAAGAGGTGGTTAATGTGGGTTACGTAATGGCCACTTGTCAGCCATTCGGCGTTATTTTTGAAGCCGAGTTTTGTGAAGTGGTAGTTATGGAGCTATTATTGAATAAGCATAAAGCCCTTGTTTATGCATACTACGGCATGGCTGGCTCATCTTTGCTGACCGGAACGGAATTTGCAAATTTCGTCGAGTATGGAAAATTCCAGTTGCTGGTTTCGTTTGGCTAAGCTCCCTGGTTAAGCCGGTTGCCAGAGCTTGCGGCTGTAGAGAACGGAGTTTTGTGGATTCCATGATGAAAGCTGATGTCCGGCCACCGTCAGACGCTGGAGATAATGTGAAATATGAACTAGTGGTCCTTTTCGTTAGCGGTAGGTATATGCATAGCGTTGGTTCGGTGTAGCAGGACTTTCCTATTCAGCTGGGCAGTATCTTTCACGGAAATATGTATCCATTTTATGTTTAAATGTCCTTGTTAAGACTGCCATTATAACTTCGTCGACAAGACGGTTCCGCGAACCAATAAGTCGCTACGAAAGCGAGTATCCGCGAACATCCAGGTGAAATAAATTTAATCGAAGGTTGAGACAGTTCCCACGCCGACAAGTTGCTGTGCGAAAAAAATTCTCAAAGTGCACGGCACGGTCCCGATTTCTCACAACCTGACAGGTCTGTATGATATCTTCTCAGATTTGCCTGTTTTCAGGAGAAAGTATGTCAAGCGCACTAAGTTTGTCTTTACACAATAAAGTTTTTATGCACTTCGGGATTTTAGTCGCCCTCCTTTAAACCCTTTCCTGCATCTTAGAATCTCTTTACAGCCAGGGGCTTAACGCGTGAATTTAATATTCTAGCTGCGAACGAATCAATGCTCTGTATACCTTTCCAAGTAGCGCATTATCTGTATCGACGGAAACTATTTTAGTGGAAAAGAGAACACTGGTCGTCTTTTCAACAATCCTGCCGCACTGAGAAGGGGGTCACAGGGATGACAAAAAGGTGAATCCGAGATCTTTTTATGCAAGAATTTTCATCAAGGGTGTGTTGGTGATCATCTCCATTCGCTTCCCCTTTCGTTTTGAGCCGCAGTGCGTCACACTTCTCAAGGTTAATCTTTAGTTATTATTTATCCGACCCTTCACATATGCAGCAAATTCCTTCCTGCTGAGCCCATGCACTAATTTTACATTTTGTCACTCATCACAATTTTATATCATTTGCAAACATGATTCCCTTACAATCATGTCTGTTCATGAGGTCATTAACATAATGTAAAAACAGTGATCGCTGGAGCCCAGAGTCCTGTGTTGCTCCAATCTCTACTGGCACTGATAAGAATTTCGCATTGCTAATGAACACAGGCTATGATCGGCTGACCAAGAAGTCCCCCATCCAGTTTAGTAGGTTCCCACTTATATCAGACCCTACGTACTTGTCGGGCAACCGGAAGCGTAGAACCCTATTAAAGGCTTTCTTAAAGTCGATCTGGACGACGTTGACTCTTGTGTCTTCATCTAACGCGCGAGACTAATGATCCATTGAACGAAACATATGAGAATAGAATAGGTTTATTATGGCGCCCCTTGGGCACTGTCAGTCTCCTTTAGACTCAGGGAAAAAAACCTAAAACAAACTCATCCATTTCGACTGCACTTTGACTTCATTCGTTTTGAGTTATTGGTCGAACAGGGGCAGTTTCTTCGAAAGGCATTTTAGACACCCCAAAGAATCCTCCACTTTGAGGAAATTTATAATGGGTTTTGACGATCCTTTCTACAACTTTGTAACAAATGCATATTAGACTCGCCAGCCGATATTTGATAGCACTTGTTCTGGACCCACCCTTGTGAATGGGACATATATTCGCCACTTTCATTTAGAGGGTAAGACCCTTTGATCATATGGTAGCTGGAGAATATGTGGAAGCGATCAAGAGAGTTCACAAGCCAGTTCATTTAGAACTTTTGTCGTTATTTCGTCCAGAACAGGAGATTTGTATGACTTAAGGGCAAGATGTTTCATCCTCATATCTTCTTCTGTGAAATTAACGCCTCACATTACAAGTTCTTGTAATCCACTGGGGAAATTGTCGTGGTCAAAGTCCGTTCCAGAGGTGAAAACAGATACAAAAACAACAGGAGTGTTCTGCCTTATCGTCATTTTCGGTAATGTTGTTTTCTCCTCTCAACACTGCGGTCGAATCTTTGTATTTTAGCCTGCTGTTGACATAGCTAGAGAGTTTTTTAAGCCCACC